GGGCACAGGCAGAACTTCGTCGGCAAGGGGTGAAGGATTTACCCGCTGCTATGTCCGCAGCAGACGCGCTGGTTGATTACAAAACGCAGGCTAATCCTCTAGAGAAGGAGTCGAAAGGGAAAGCCAAGTTTGCTAAGAAGGATAAGCAGAAGAAAAAGGCTGAGAAGTTTGGCAATTCAGAAAAATAGACTGACAAAGCCTCTTCATCAAAGGGAGGTGTTGACTCAGGATGTTTTATCTGTAATGGCCCTCATCGTGCCAGAAATTGCCCCAAGAAGGAAAAGCTCAGTGCCCTCATGGCTGAGGAAACTGATTGTTCTGACGAAACCAACACGAGTCAACCCATTACAACTTCTTAATGCAATTCGCAAAGAGGAGACAGTGGCAAAGAGGGGGTTGATGTTTGTGCAGATTCGCCTGAACAATGTGGCTGTCCAGGCAATGGTCGATACAGGTGCAACCCATAATTTTGTTTCTGATCGGGAAGTACAGCGGCTTGGTCTGGCTTTGGTGAAAGACTCTAGCCAGATTAAGGCTGTTAATTCAGAAGCAAAACCAGTAGGCGGCGTCGCAAGAGAAGTCCCTCTAAAAGTGGGTGATTGGCAAGGAACATGTGATTTTATGGCAGTCCCTCTCGATGATTTCCAGGTAATCCTTGGACTGCAATTCCTTACAAAGGCAATGGTGTCTGTTATGCCGCATTTAAATGGGATGTTCGTGATGGACATGCCCAATCCTTGTTTTGTTCCCCTCACCAAAGCCAAGTCTTCGGGGGAAATGTTGTCTGCCTTACAAGTAAAAGATGGCTTGCGAAAAGGGGAGGCAACATACTTGGCTGTTCTATTTGAGGAAGAGGAGTCCAAAGCATTTCAAGTCCCTGAATCAGTACAACAGTTGCTGGTTGAGTTCAAGGATGTGGCACCTAAAGAATTGCCAGCAAGGTTACCGCCAAGACGGGAGATTGACCATGCCATAGAGTTAATACCAGGGGCAAAAATCCCTGCACAGGCTCCTTATCGAATGTCTCCATCAGAATTGGCGGAGCTAAGGAGACAACTTGGGGGGTATTGGACATTGGGTTCATTCAACCTTCCAAGGCACCCTATGGAGCTCCTGTTCTGTTTCAAAAGAAGAAGGATGGATCCTTACGGCTTTGTGTAGACTACAGAGCGCTCAACAAAGTCACTGTCAAGAACAACTATCCAGTGCCGCTTGTCGACGAACTATTTGATAGATTGGGAAAGGCGGTTTTCTTTACCAAGATGGATTTGCGGCTGGGATATCATCAAGTCAGAATTGCAGAGGGAGATGAGGCGAAGACTACTTGTGTGACAAGGTACGGGTCATATGAGTTTTTAGTTATGCCTTTCGGCTTAACCAATGCCCCTGCTACATTCTGTAACTTAATGACCAATGTATTTCGGGAATACTTGGACCGCTTCATGGTGATTTATTTGGATGACATAGTTGTTTATAGCCAGACTCTTGAGGAGCATGTTGAGCATCTTAGGTTGGCCTTGACAAAGTTAAGGAAAGCCCAGTTGTATCTGAAACCAGAAAAATGTGAGTTTGCCCAGAAAGAAATTTCATTCTTAGGGCATATTATTTCTGCGGGCGTGGTGAAGATGGACCCGAAAAAAGTTGAGGCCATTGCAAATTGGCCTGTCCCTACTAAGGTTACTGAATTGCGTTCTTTCCTTGGTTTGACAAACTATTATCGAAAATTCGTGAAGAATTATTCGAAGAAGGTCGCAGTGCTGACTGATCTTCTAAGGAAGGATAGGACATGGAACTGGTCCTACGAATGCCAGGAGGCATTCGATCGATTGAAGGCGGTGGTGACGTCTAGCCCAATTTTACGCTTACCTGATTTTGATTTGCCCTTTGAAGTCCATACAGACGCATCAGACTTTGCTCTTGGAGGGGTGTTGGTGCAGAATGGGCATCCAGTGGCATTTGAAAGTAGGAAGCTGAATGATACCGAGAGGCGGTATTCAGTACATGAGAAGGAGATGACAGCAGTCATTCACTGCATCAATGCATGGAGGCACTACTTGTTGGGGAAGCATTTCCTTGTACTGACAGATGTGGCTACTAGCTGTTTCAATTCCATGAAGAAGCTGACACCAAAACAAGCAAGATGGCAGGACTTTCTTGCCCAGTTTCATTTCACGTTGCAGTACAAGCCTGGCAGTGCAAATCAGGTTGCTGATGCTCTTAGTCGAATCCCAGTTGCTGATGGGACAGTTGCTGCACTTAGCCAGATTGCAGGAGACATACTGCAGAGAATTCAGGATCAGACTAAAGATGATCCAGTGACCAGCTTATTGCTGAAGCAGGTTCACGAAGGGGTGACTCGGCGATTTTGGGTAGAGGATGGTGTTCTCTACGCCAAAGGTAGGAGACCCTATGTTCCGAAGTCAGGCGGACTTCGACAGATGTTGCTGAAAGAAGCTCATGATGCTCTATGGGCAGGACATCCAGGGCAGCAACGGACTCTTGCCTTGCTAGCAGAAAGTTATTATTGGCCCCGCATGGAAGCAGATGTGGAGCTGTATGTGCGCACTTGTTTGGTGTGCCAGCAGGACAAGATTGAAAGGAAGAAGGTGGCGGGTACATTGGAACCTCTCCCTATTCCAAGCCGACCTTGGGAGAGTGTTTCCATGGACTTCATTAATGGCTTGCCTCAGGTAAACGATTTTACTTCGATATTTGTGGTGGTAGACAGATTTTCGAAGTATGCCACTTTTATTGCTGCCCCAAAAGTATGTACGGCGGAAGTTACTGCTCTGTTATTCCTCAAGCATATTGTGAAGCTTTGGGGTCTTCCGTTGGACATAGTGAGCGACAGGGACACTCGGTTTACTGGCCGATTCTGGACAGCTTTATTTGAGCTGTTGGGCACACAGCTCAAACTTTCCACCAGTAATCATCCGCAGACAGATGGGCAGACCGAGCGGGTTAATGCAATGCTGGAGGAATATCTCAGACATTATGTCACAGCGAACCAGGACAATTGGGTGGATTTACTTGATGTAGCCCAGTTCAGTTATAACCTCCAACAGAGTTCGTCCACTGGAATGAGCCCCTTTGAGTTGGCAACTGGCCAACAGCCTCTTACCCCGCATGAAGTAGTCAAGCAAAAGTCTCAAGGGAGATGTCCTGCAGCATATCGCTTCGCTCGGACCAATCAAGAGCGGACCGACGAAGCAAAAGACTGTTTAACTAAGGCGGTGAAGAGGATGAAAAAGTGGGCAGACGAGAAGAGGAGGGCAGTAGAGTTCGAAGTAGGTGACAAAGTGATGCTGAAATTGACCCCACCAATCTGGAACAAGATCTCTCGGAAGTCTGCACACAAGGGATTAATTCAGCGTTATGACGGCCTTTCCTAATAACAATGAGGATAGGCAGGTTGGCCTATAGGCTGGATCTTCCCAGTCGTCTCAAGCTTCATCCAGTTTTCCATGTTGCCTTCTTGAAACCGTATGTTGAGGACCCGGAGGACCCTAACAGATACGTTCGGCGTCGGGCTCCTCCAACAATCAGGAAGCAATTCACAGAAATAGCTGAAGCTATCCTTGACCACAAGACTGAGGGAATGAGTAAGAAAAATAGAAGAACTCATTACCTAGTCAAGTGGAAAGGGAAAGCACGGAGGAAGCCACTTGGGAGAAAGAGACGACATTGTGGCAGTTTGAGGATCTCATCAAGCAATACCATGCCTCCATTCCAACGAGGTCGTTGGATACTTTAGGTGGGGGTGGCTTGTCACACCCTAATTGACTTGGGTGCAAATGGCCGGTCTTGGTGGCACCTTGCACCAAGGCATGCCAGAAATTGGAATCAAGGTGACGCGGCTAAGTGGTTCGACAGATTGGGCGAACCAAGGCAGCATGAGACCACCCGGTTGAGTATGGCAGCATGGGTGGGCTCAATTGAAGCAATGTGGGTGCAGAGCTTCGGATTGCATGGCATGGGTTGAACCCAGCATGCACATTGGTTCGAGTAGCAAGGTTGACTGGTGAATGTGGGCACATGACTGCTGAATGTGGGCACCTGATTGGCACATGGCTGCTCAATGCATGTGACCAGGAGGATGTGGGCAGTTATGATGCTGAGACTCAATCAAGGCAGTTGCTGAGGCAGTTCTGGATGTCCCCAGTCTGAATCCAGTCTAGATGCATGCTGATGAAGGGCAGTTCCACAGCAGTTACTTGAAGTGGTGGAACTGCCTGCCAGGTGTTGCACAGAGACCAAGTCTACTAGTCCAGTATGCTATGGAATAGCAAAAACGTGGGTAACTACCCCTTGGCAGATGGGGGTGTCATCTGCCTTCCTCTTGTATAAATAGAGGTGCTTGAGCATTCTGGAAGGTAGAGAGTGTTCTGGCTTTTGAGAGTCCTTGTAAATTGTTGAGTTCAATATATAAGGTTTGGGAGTGTTGTCCCAGTAGATTCGTGTGTGCCTTCTGTGTGAGTTTCTGTCCCTTATTCTTGAGTTGAGTGTGGCTGGTTGTAATAGCAACGCCTTCACAGGTAACCTCAAAAGAAAAACGAAAGTTACCCTGTGACATTAAGCAAGGTTATTAAGCCATGAATCAGGTCCATGATTTTGGAAAAAGATGACTTACTTTTTTTTAAGACGTGATCAAATATTTTCGATTGACACTTGAGGTCATACAAATCACTCTCTCATGATTCGAAGGCGATTGTGCGTGTGACTAGCTTAGTTGAAATTGATTAACTCGTACCGACTCGTACGTGTGTGGACTCGTGGTCCCACTACATCACAGCAGCTTCACTCTCTCTACCTGTACCAGTAGAAACCAGTAGGTAGTAATAACCGCTCGCTCCTAGTTCTAACCGTCTCTCTCTCCCAATCCAATCACAACGACCTAGGAAAAGCGGGAACCTCAATTTTCAAAGCTCACGGGAAAAAAAGCTAACGGCATACTTTACACGCATTTTTCGACAAATTCAAATCGAAAAAGTAGTAACAGAATGGCCACAGAGCAAAAAGAAGACCCTCATACTCTGCAGGTACTCTCTCTCTCTCTCTCTACCCTACGGATACGCTTTTTGATTAATTATATACATATATACCGAGCGTGTCGTATGTATAGTTCTGTAGATCTAGGGTTCCAAAATCCCCTTACATCATCAATTCTACATTTTTCTTTGCTCGTATATACATGTATAACCTCGCATATATATGCAGAAGGAAGAGGAAGAGAAGGATTTCAATCTCGGATCTGACGAATCTGAAGCTCCATTTCCCCTCGGTGTCCCTTCTAGGGTTAGTTCTTTAGTCATTAATTTTCATTTCCTAAATTCTAGAGAGAGAGAGAGAGAGTAGTGGATTTTGATTGTAAATTGTGGTGATGGCGTTTGTGGATTCAGGTATTGTATATGTTAGGGACATTACGGCAGGTCCGGCGTATCGCTTCACGCAATGGGTGGAATTGGTTCGTAAGCGTAGCGGCACGTACCGGTCCTCCGGATTCCCACACCGGCCTCAGAGAACCAATACTATGCCCTTGAGGTTAAGTTCGATGGCCTTTATTGGAAATGTTGTTTCTCTATAGTTGGTGAATTTTCGTGCCAAGTTTATGTGAACTTAAATGCAATGACTAGGTGTAGCTAGCTGATTAGTGTTTCTGAACGATGTGGATATGCTGAGTGAAATATGGTTTCTGCTATGCAAATTTCTCGGTCTGCTCTGTCATGCAACATCAGGAAACTAAAAGTTGAGGAAATTTATGTTTAATATGTCATTACTTTCTGATAAAAAAAAAATGTATGATCCGTAAGTCTTCTTACAATAATCCTGCTAGTTCTGTCTGGGCCTATTCGTGGCAGTTTTTATTCATTTCAAACAAACCAATTTTCTGCTGAAGTTTTCTTGTTCTTTGTTAAAAAGTTTGATTGCTAACTCTTGTAGATTGGTTTCATCGTTATTATGTTGTTTCCATAATGATTCTGGTTCAGTGCAGGAGAATCAAGTTCTGAATCTGATTTAAAGAGTGTCCCACCTTCAGAGCAAGCTACAGAAATCAGTTTGTGGGAAAGATTTAGTAAAGCTGTTATGTTGGACATTGAATCTAGCTCCTTTTCTTGGAACACGCTATCTTCCCTTCACCACACTGAACATAGCAGCAGTGCTGAACAGTCTGAGGACGAAATGAATAAAGCATTAGAAGTATGTAATACTCTCAGCTTTACTTTGCTGAAGGGTATGTTTCTCGTTTATATCTGTGTCAGGAAATCAGAATTTGTGGAAAAATTTAGGAAACCCAGGCAATCATTGTTGACACTGTCACCTTTCCTTTTTTTTTTCAGGATTTTGTTGTTTTGGGGTTTTTCTTCATGTTTTTCCCCGAGCAAGAAATCAAAACCTTGTTTACACTTATAGGTCAACAACTATCTAGTGGTAAAAAATAAACAACTATCTGTATAAAAACTTGGTGAATTTTTATTTGGCTGGTTTTCTGGACCCTTAACGGGCCCAAATTAGTAAAATAAGTATGAAAAGGCTCTATCCTTCTTGTCAAGAGATGCATTGGAGCTTTGTAAACAAGATTAAGTCAGAAAAATTCAGTTAGTTGCTCAAACTTGCCATAACCCCCCCCCCCCCCCCCCCCACCCACACCACATTGAAACACACACCCCAGCCAGGGGTGCCACAACATCTGAGCCATGCTCACGGTGTGTGTCCTATTTTTATATTCTTCTTTTTCTTATCGTAGACTATAAGAATGGGACCCTTTTCAGGCCAACCGTTCTTTGAGGCGCAATGCTATTATTTTTACTTCAGTGCTACATCTGCTTTGACGTTTATATATTCTTGTCTCATGAACAAGCTCTCTTGTGTGATCATTATTATTGTTAGTTTTTGGCATCACAATTATATAAAGGTGCAACAGCTCTCCAATTTTACTTTGTACATTTTCATTGGTTATTTTTCTCCCATTTTACTTGGACATAAAAATTACTACTTTCTCATCCTAACTTGAGCACCGCCTTATTACTTCATGAGGATATAGGTTACCGTGAATTCTGGGGGTGTAGTATTTTTTGCGCTATTCAACCAACCTGAAAATGATGAATCTTCCCCAGAGGAAGCAGCAGCTGTTATCAAGATATCATCTTCAAGGATGGCCACACAATCAGAACGCCTTGGCTATGAATTCGCAAAATGGCTAGGTGTCCGAACTCCGCAAGTTGTACCTATGTACTTCATCAGTTAGTTGATCTCTTCCATCTTAGGCCAGAAGACTGACCTCCTAACAAAATTACTGTCTAAACACTGCAGGCTAGAGTCATTCACAATTCTTGTCCAGAGTGGCTGCAGATTAAAGAAGCTGCAGATAAAGCAAGAGATGCTGCAATTTCAGAGGGAGATGAAGTTGGTGAAGTGACATGTTCAGAACTTCTAGAGGCTCTTGAACTTAGCCGATGCCTTTTCCTGATGAAGTGCATACTGAAACTTATTCTGTTGTAAATAAGGTTTTATGATGCAGCAGCATGGAATATCCTTGCTTCCTTTAACACTGGCTGTCTAGTAATATTGATGCTGAGCATGAGTTTTCTCTACCTTCACAATAGCATCTTACAAAATATCTGTCTGTTTAGATCGTTGGGTTATGTGATGAGTCTAGTTGATTTGCTAAAATATTATTTGCTATAGTTAAATTTGAATAGGTTAACGTTCTACCTTTGTGCCATTTGGAGCGGGCTGTTTTTTAGATTGGACAAATTGACAATGTCCTAGTGGAAGTTGCTTTCATGTGTTGGGGGTCATTTGAGTGATTAGAGGATGCTAAGCATTAGAATGATATCGAGGTGACTGCTGAATTTCTATGGTTCTCTGAACACTGAAAAACTTCTCTTTTTTGCAGTTACGTGCATGGATCTCCTCTATTGGAAAGCTCCAATGCATTTGATTCACGAGAAGCTGCAGATAGAACAGCGGCAGCCCTTGGCAGGATCTTGATGCTGGACCTTGTCATCAGAAATGAAGATAGGCTCCCTTGCCGTCATCTCAGGTGGCGCGGGAATTCTGCTAACTTATTATTGGCTGATAAAATGGCGTCTGCAAATATGGGTGCAATGGAGGCTACCTTCGATTCTGCAATTGAGAGATATAGGCCAAGTATAATTCGGGCGCTTCAAAAAGAAAGACAGGCAACATCAATAGATTGCAGGCTGGGACCTCATAATTCAGGATTAGTATCGCCGAGTTCTGATCTTTCTGATGTTACAGAATCTCCAAAATCCAGAAATATTAGTCTAAAAAATCAGATTCCAAGTGAAATTACAAGTTCTGATTTTCATATCGTGGCTATTGATTCTGGGGTTCCTCGAAGACCACCTGCTGGAAAACGTGCCAATGACCAGGCAAATTATCCTAAGCTAGTTGAGCTCCTCATCAACAGTTCTGAGTATGCATCAAATCTCTTACATGAGATAACTGGAGGGAGATTAGGATCTCCACCAGAAGATTCTGATACACTTATTGATTTGCGTTCAAAAGATATGGCTTCAGTTCATGAATTTCGAGGTGGGTTTCGTGCAGCTCTCAGGGACTTGCAGGGATTTCATATATTCCTTCTTACACTTCACCAAAAACTGGATAGCCTCCTACGAGCATTTCTGAATATTATAAATAGGACTTCCACTGGAGATTTTGACAAAGAAGATTTGGTGGTTGCTGAGTCTCTCTCACAGGCTACAGGGGCTAGTCATAATTGCCCTTCTCCACCAATTAAAGAACGGATCATTGCTGATAACCATCCAGATTTAATGGATTCGGAGTTGCAAAGAACAGCTCCTAAGTCGTCATCATCGGGATCTAAAGAAAGCTCAGACTCTGGTTCTCCCATCTCACGGGATAATTGGCATGGAAAGATGAGCAAGGGGAGTGGAGAGCCTCTTCGTAGCCTGCGTATGACATCAAAGCTCCGTGACTTCCACAAATTGGCTAAAGTATGTGCTATTTTATTGGTGGAATTTACTGTCATCTGATAAAAGTATATGCTTTTGATCTTATTAAACCACACATTCATCTAAAGCAAGACAAAGTCCTTAATCCACCTATTCAGCCCCATGCGAATTTTTAAAATGGCAGGGCTAGTGCTTTACTTAACATAGGTTGCTAGTCTGTGGAAGGTGTAATGGTGATCCTCTAGTTGAAAGTGACTATTTAAGGGATAATGTATTTCTTTCAGTAGAACTCAACCTTTTCCATCATGACTCCAATTGTCAAATTGTTGATAATCTATTTCACAGGTGGCATTGGCCAAGTGATGTTCCCATTCTGAAAACACATGGATCAAACATAGCCATTTTATTAGTGGTTATCACTGTATTATTTATTTTCTTGCTAACATGGATAAAGCAACATGATATTAAAGTATGAATTGATAAAAATTATCCAGAGTTGAATGACCAAGGTCTTGGACTGAATTCTAGGGTTCCCTTGCAATGTAGAAGTTGTAGTTGTGTGGTTTTGTTGAGTGCAATGTTTCTGTGCTTTCTATATCAGCATAATTTGACCGTAGTTTGTTGATCATTTTGCAGGTGGATGTGGAACTAAACAAAGAGTTAGAACAATGGAATGAAATGCTTAAAAATGATGCAGTTAAGCTATGTCAGGAGAACAACTTCCATACAGGGTTTTTTGAGTGTAGTGATAGCAATTGTGTCGTTGATGCTTATGAGTTGAAGGTAATAGTTTCTTTCAACATTTGGATGCAATTTTTTGTTTATGAGTTGACTCTCAATGTCCTATACAGAGCTATTATTGTAAACATTAAGGTTGTATACAAGTTACAGGTCAGGCTAGAGCACATTCTTGAGAGGATAGCGTTGATTTCAGATGCTGCAAATACAGAAAAGCCATCATCAATTTCAACTAATCTGTTCATCGGTGGGGCGCTGGCTGCGAGATCTGTGTACACTCTGCAACACTTGGGAATTACACATATATTGTGCTTGTGCTCTAATGAAATTGGACAATCAGATTCCCAAAATCCTGAGTTATTCGAGTATAAGAATTTTTCTGTAAGTGCAATTTCTTTCCATGTGCCAATTATTTACTTCTTTGGAAGCTTTGTGGAAGCAGTTGTATGATATTGAATTGCCCTTGTATGCAGATATGTGACAATGAAGATACAAACATCGACGAAATCTTTGAGGAAGCACATGATTTCATTGATCACGTTGAACAACTAGGTGGGAAGGTTCTGATTCATTGCTTTGAGGGGAGAAGTAGAAGTGCAACATTAGTTCTTGCTTACTTGATGCTCAGAAAGTTAGTGCAAATTACAAGTACATAACTAAGAAATTGTGGTTGACCATTATGCGGCATCCAAATGTTATACAGTTTGGGTTGTTCTATATTAGTCGTGGAACCCACCCATGAGTACAACATTGCTTAAATTTTATATGGTGCATTGAAGTTTGTTAACAGAAAGTAAGTCTCAAATTCTCTAATCTCGTGTTTTTTTTTTTGAAGGAACTTCTCGTTATTGGAAGCATGGAATACCCTGAGACGAGTTCACCGACGTGCCCAACCCAATGATGGATTTGCTAAGATTCTTTTGGACCTAGATAGGAAGTTGCATGGGAAGGTTTCCATGGAATGGCAAAAACGGAGACCAGTTATGAAGGTCTGTCCCATCTGTGGAAAAAATGCTGGCTTGAGTAGCAGCTCGCTAAAGCTTCATTTGCAGAAATCACACAAGAAACTATCATCAGGGAGTGTGGACAGTGCCATGACAATGGAAATACAAAAGGCCTTGGAAGCACTTAAGGTTAGTCGTGGTGGAAGTGTTAGCCCTACACAAAGGACATCATCTCATTCAATGATAGGTGAATCGGAATATTAAGTTGCTGTAGATAAATTTTTGCAAGTTGCAAGCCCCAGTGAGCTACAGGTCTCTATAAAGTCTTTCTTTGTCTATTTAACTTCATCGCACAATACTATTTTAAGCACTACTGTATAGATGATATATAGTCGCACAAGTTTCTTGTAGATTCATACATTATATTTCATTCTCCAGCTGAAATAAACTGTCACCCAGAAAGAGTTGTAAAGAACAATATGGGCTTGGGCATCATTAAGATTAAAATTAGAGCGTGATATTGATTAAGAGTTAGGAATGTCCATGGGTTGGGCTGGGTAGGGTTAGGGCCATGAGATTTTTGGGCTGGGTTTGGGTAGGGTAGGTTCAAACCCTTATCCGAATGAGTTATTGAATGGGTTGGCCTTAAAGTAGGGAAATACGGATAGACTATCCGCAATCTAACCCATCATTCATTGGGCAAGTTTTTTAACATATATATACATCTTCATTTTATAAAAAAATTTCAATTTATTATTTTTATAAATCACATTATTGAATTAAAAGTAGAGTCAAAATTGATAGATTTCACCAAACTTTCAATAGTCAATTTTTTTTTCAAACAAAGTGGGTTAATGGGTGGTCCTGGCTGAGCAGGTTCTGGGACCAAATTTTAATGATTTTTTGTGGGTGGGCTAGTGGGCCGGGTATTGACTTTATTTAGTTTTGGACTTATTTTTTTAGACCAAGTACATATCCATAGGCCAAGCACACCCATTGACACCCCAAGTATTTTGAAGGAACGGGGAACTAGCAGCTGTCATTGGCATTGCAATTACATAACCTTATACAGGGCAAAAGAACATAAATCTCACAGCCAAGAGGTATTGTAACACTATAAGCAACGACATGATTTTACACCTATTGCTGCTACCAAATTGTGAATGTCTGCAATCTAACACAAACAACTGATGAGTGACTGAACTGTGCATACAATTGAGAGTAGATACATCCCTCAAACTTGGACACGATTGACTATGCTTCCGCTTCTAATCTACTCCCAACCAGTTTCTTCAACAAAAATATAAACGTATTACTAACCAATAATAAAAAGCAGCAGTACAAACAACATATTGGTATATATCACAATATGAAAAGCTTTGGTCTACACCGGAATAGGCTCTGGTAATGACTCTGGAGGAGCACCACTGCTACCATTGAGGACAGTCACGTTACCATCAGAATCAACATCGACGATGACTGAATCACCCTCTTTGATCTCCCGTGCAAGCATTTTCTCAGCCATACTATCCTCCAACAGTCTCATAATGGCTCTCCTTAGTGGCCTCGCACCATAGCTTGGGTTGTACCCTTCTTCAACCACCCTATCTCTAAACCTTTCTGTTACCTGAAGCTCTATCTCCTTGGTTTTCAGCCTCTCAAAAACCTCTTTCAACATTATATCAGCAATCTCTTTCACCTCCAGCTTGGTGAGCTGTCGGAACACAATCATCTCATCCAATCTGTTCAGGAACTCTGGTCTGAAATATTGTTTCAGTTCTTCGGTCACCAAGCTTTTAATTCTATTGTAACTGCTATCCTTCTCATCATAATCAAGATCAAAACCAATACGACGACCTCCCTTCTCAATCACACTACTTCCAACATTGGAAGTCATAATCAAAAGTGTATTCTTGAAGTCCACAGTTCTGCCCTTGCTGTCTGTCAACCTTCCATCCTCAAGAATCTGAAGCATCATATTGAAGACATCTGGATGAGCCTTTTCAATTTCATCGAAGAGCACAACAGTGTAAGGACGGCGTCTAACAGCCTCAGTTAGCTGACCACCTTCAGTGTAACCAACATAACCAGGTGGTGAACCAATGAGCTTCGAGACAGTGTGTCTCTCCATGAACTCACTCATATCAAGCCGGATCATGGCTTCTTCTGACCCAAAGTAGTAGGCCGCCAGTGTTTTTGCCAGTTCTGACTTTCCGACACCAGTTGGCCCAGAGAAGATGAAGCTAGCAATTGGCCGGTTGGGGTTCTTAAGCCCAACACGGGCACGACGAATAGCACGGCTGATGGCTTTGACAGCTTCATCCTGACCAATGACTCGTTTGTGGAGGGTCTCTTCCATTTTGAGGAGGCGATCAGATTCATCAGTAGACACTTTCTCAACAGGTATGCCAGTCCAAGCAGAGACAATGTGCTGAATGTCAACTTCTGTCACAACCGGGCCCCCATCCCCTGCCTCGGTTTCTGCCTTGCTCATCTCTTTGTTTTTGTCTACAAGAGTGGATATCTGTGCCTTAAGATCCATTTCCCTATCTCGTAACTCTCCAGCCTGTTCACAAATTTAATGACATAAGCTTACTAGATAAATCTGGTACAGAAATTAAATACACAGAGAATCCTAAACAGCTTTGAAACTCTCGATTGTTGAGAAATTTTCGTTGATTCCACAAGCCTTGATTCGAACATTCCTTTTTATCGAACAGAATTTAACGACATCGAATTTCTCTGAAAATTATGTTGCATTTCCCTGCGGGACTTGTGTACAAACAGTATAAAAAGTGTAGGATCCCTTCAACCAAATTACATATGACTATCCAACTGTATAAATAATAACTAACAAGGGAATTTAATGAGTACCTTTTCAAAGTCTTGACCACGGACAGCTTCATTCTTCTCCTTTGTGATCTGCCTGAGCTCTTTCTCAAGCTCTCTGGCTTCCTCTGGGAGCTACAAAAGATAGAGAGTTATCTAACTACTTAAAAGAATAGAATGGATAAAAAGGAAGCTAAATGTTTTCATACCTGTGCATGACGAAGTCGAACACGAGAACCAGCCTCATCAACCAAGTCAATTGCTTTATCAGGCAGAAAACGGTCACTGAAATGCACAAAAATTAACAATGAGATACAACTGAATCATAAGGTTAGAAAACAAATGCACAAAGTGCCTGGATACATAACAAGTACACAAAAAAAGTCGTAATTAATCATGAAGCTTGAGCAAGAGCCTTGAGAAAGACGAGTGACCACAAAGAATGCATACATATTTCATTTTTCTCATCATAAGCACATCACCCGTGCAGGGTTAAATATCTGCCAAAGACAAAAGAATTTTGTTTTGTTTTACTTCCACTCTAGAGTCAAATAAATAGGCTCACCAGAAAGTTGAGTGTCCTGAGTTTGTGCTTTATCTCCATGGCGCCCAGGAGGATTTTAAAAAGCCAAAAAAAAAAAGTGCACATCTGTAAAACCAAATTCCTATCTCATATTGCAGAAGAAGAAGACCCAAGGAATTCCTAAAACTCCTGGTATACGATCTTTCCAACCCTCATCCTCCCCTGTTCCAGATATAAAAGGTTCCAACAACATTCTCACAAGTCCTAGAAGAGTTATTCACGGGAAAAATATATCAATTACAAAGTCACGGGAATCCATGTGTTCTCTGAGGTGGGCATTCACGACAGCATCTTGGAAGCATACACCAACCAAAACCGAGGCAACAAAATATTGCCAAATCAAAAATGGCTCTAGCTTACTCTGAAAATAATGAATCTCTGGGAGCTCGTATGAGAGCTGGTTTGACTGCCCTTACCATAGTGGAATTTTTATGAGATGCTAAGGAAACCAACACCACCAAATGCTACTATGTTTGTTAATACCTATTACTTTTTATTTTTACAGTGGCACATATCCATCAAAACATTTTCCTAGCCATGACAAGCGACCGACCAATT